GGGTTAGGATATAAAATTACCAAAAAATGAATAGAAGTCAATGGACGAGCCCCACAAGGATATAAAAACAAGTTTGTGTGTGTCCGTGCGTGCGTGCATGTGTGTGTGTGTGTTACTATGAGTGGTAGCTGGTGGTGTTTTTATGGACTTTGAGGTGCATTGCTAAGTGGTGAGTCATGATGATGGCTCACATCCCCCCCTTATGCTTTGTGTGCCGCATTGTTTCAGCTAACTCACTCCACCTACTGGTCAAAAATTTGTAATCACAGTGCGCCTTAAGGATCACTAAACACTGACGGAGGTTGATTGATGCTATCATTAGAACATGAAGAAGTGTTATTCTTCATTCAACATTTCAACATCATAAAATGTATCATAGAAAAAACAGCATGTGATAATCTTTGTCTGACACATAGATTTACAAGATTAAAATCATCCTGACTTTATCAGATACAGTGAATGTTTTGGGGATTTTAGGGTTTTGCATGTGGGGAAGTAATTGGAGTGCAAAATAATTAGGAGTCGCCAGAATCACAAGATGGTGCTGTTGATTCAGAAACATTCAAGCATTGCTGAATTTAGGGAATAAACCTGTCTTCTGTTTCTGTAATAAATGTGTCATCTTTCCATCAGATGACCCCAGTGATCTGAAAGCTGACAGCAGCCCCACCACAGATAACGAGATAACGGCCAAGGAGCGAGGCGTTCTGGAGGAGAACAACGAGAAGGAGGAGATGGACCGGGACAGATCACCGGAGGACAGGGGGGAGGAGAAGAAGCTGAAGGAAGAGGAGGAGGAGGGTGAGGATGAGGAGAAGAGGATGATGGAGCAGGAGGTGCTGACGGAGGAGCAGGAGCTGGAGGAGCTGAAGGCCCAGGTGCTGCAGCTGCTGCTCGAGCTCGATGAAGCCAGAGAGACTTCCAACAAGCACCAGGAGAGTTTCCATGAACTGCAAGGTGAGACGTCTGGACTTCATTTTATTCCATTTTAGTTATAAATTAGGAATCTTGCTTTATAACATTTAACCAGCTTCTATGAAACTTGAATGAAAATAAACAGCCACATAGCCTAAAACAACAATCACCAGCTGTAGGGTCCTGGGCCAGAACCTGCACACAAGCTCATTCCATCCGGCCCAGGAAGCAAATATTCATTCCTAAAATACAACCTGTCTGATGCAGGAGTCAGTTGTTTTTTTTTTAGAAAGTGTCATCACAATATTGCTTCAGCCAGTCAGAGCTAGATATATATTTTTTCAGTTTTAGCTTTAGACGTCTACAAAACTTTAGTTTTAAAACAAGTTCAAAGAGATTTCAAGTCAAAAGCTAACATCATTGAGCCGAATGGGGATTATTAGCATCACTAGCCACTTTGGAAAGGGAACAGTTAATTTTATTAGGCTTTTATTCTGTTAATGTTTTTGAAACTTGTGCATTTTATTCCTCTATTTACTTATATTTTATATATAATAAACAGTGATTTTCAAGTAAGGTTACGATAAAAAGCTCTAATGCAAACAAGAAAACGTTAACTTTTTAATACTTCCGGAAAATAGGAAAAAATCGGTGAGATTAATATATTTACGACACTGGACATAGAAATAAATGAAACAGACCAGCCATAATTATTAGAAACAGCTCATTTAGGCTTTGATTTTATTGACAGCCACTGTCCTAAAATGTATATTCTTCAAACCTTTCTCAAAGAAAATCACAGATAACAATTGTGCTAAAAAAAACAGGTCAAACATTTTAAAAGAAATCAATACAAAACAAATATTTTGCTTCAGAAAAATGATCAAGCAAACAAAAAACTATAAGCAACATCCACTCCGCAAATTTTTTTTCCTGGCCCAGTTCTGGCCCGCACAACAACACTAACACTCGGCCCATTTAAGGCAGAATGACGTCCCTTTGGTGGACAAGATATGGTTCACCAGGTGTGGTCCATGCATGGGCCAGCACTACAGAAACCAAACCACAACTGGGCTAGTTGTGGCATGCCAACTTAAAGGGATCCCTGATTAGTTGTAACATCAGATTTTATTTGATAAACATATATTTTAACTGTAAAATAAAGACTGTAAAAATACTGTACGTTGTTTAGTTTTGTAAATTTTTAAAAATATATTTCAACACAGACCGAGCTGTTTTATTTACACACAAAGCATTCTGGGGAAATGATGACGTGGATAGGTCCTCAGTGTGAGCGAGCTATATCCACCCTGAAGGTTAATCTTGGACAATATCTGATGATTGAGTCTTTTAAATGAAACCAGAGAGCGTTGACAGAGAGGAGAAGGTAGAAATGACTCAGCCTGTAACTGAAAATGTGGATGGAGGACAACAGAGCTGCTTCATGGAAGAACCTCAGCTTAGCCTGTTAGCCTTCATGCTAGCGCCAACGCTATATTGCCTTATATGTATTAGCTCAGCGATAGCGCGACAAACAACCTAAACTGAGATCCTCCATCCATATTTTCAGTTGCTGACTGAGTCATTTTTGCATTCCCCTCTCTGTCATGTGGATGGAGGACCTCAGTGATGAGAGGAGAATGTGTAGCGCTGAGCTAATACATATATATGGTGATAGAGTCGGGGCTAATGCTAAAGCTAACAGGCTAAGCTGAGGTTCTTCTTCCATGAAGCTGCTCTGTTGTCCTCCATCCATATTTTCAGTTGCAGGCTGAGTCATTTCTTACCTTCTCCTCTTTGTCAACGCTCTCTGGTTTCATTTAAAAGAGTCAATCGTCAGATATTGTCCAAGATTAACCTTCAAGGTGGATATAGCTCGCTAGCAGCCTCGCACCGAGGACCTATCCACGTCATCATTTACCCAGAATGCTTTGCGTGTAAATAAATTGGCCCCATCAGTGTAATATATTTTTAAACTTTTAGTTTAAAAATGATAAAAACTGAACATCCTACAGTATTTTTACAGCCTTTATTTTACAGTTAAAATATATGTTTATAGAATAAAGTCTAATGTTACAACTAATCATGGATCTCTTTAAAAACAGTGCCAGACATTGCCAGACCTGGCCCACATCTGGTTGACAAACCATTTATCATGCCAGCAAGTGCCAGTTTGACACCATATCTGGCCAACACCTGTCTGCTATGTGGGACAAAAAGTTATTAATTTTTTTTACATTAAGATATTTTCTCAGATTTGTAATTAAACGATAAATTGTATGTTTGGCAAACGTCCTGCCTCCAACTTTTAAGAAATCCTACATATCCTCAGCATAAATCTTGACCTAAACAAACAGTAAAATAAGCCAAAATATAAAACATGTTTGAGAATAAATATGCTTATTCTTAATCTTTGGATATTTCTCGAAATAGAAGTATTGGTGAGAAAAAGGACTTTCCACCAGAGAAACGCTGAGTGTTTACATGCAAACAGCGACATGGTGACTTGTTCACAGCTGCTGTATAGAGCATTGCATCACATCTTAGAAATGATTATTGCCTCTGGCCTCTGGCTGTGAATAAGGCCGTAGTTATGAGGCCGCACTGAGCTCAGCGTGTGTTTATGACTGTGTGTATTTGAGCGTGTGATGAGCTCAGTCTGGCAGCGGTGCGGCATTCCTCGGGACAACTTTGTTCCTGCTGAGAGAAGCTTCTAGACTGAGAGTCCAGTAAGGCCCAATGAGAAATCCCTACTGGTCAGGCAATTTGTGGGAACGGTCCGCTGAACGATGCTGAGCTTTTAGTTTCTGTATGAGATGTGCGCTCCTTGGAGAACAGACTTGTTTTTTGTGCTCAGGTCTAAAAGAAGAAACTGTGCAGCTTTCCTGAGCTTGACAAGCTGTATTTTGTCACCTCGTTGAGTGTCGTTTTTTCATATAAGTGAACCTAAACCAAAATACTAGACTAGTTAAGTGACATTTGTAGGAGCAGATGTTAAGTTACAGGAAGTGTGACGAAGCTTTGAGCATTGTGACACTTTATGAAAGCATGATAACTTTAGGTTACTGTCGTAACCCCGGTTCTCTGATTAGCATGAGTGAGTGTCTCACATTGGGAACGCCTTCGGCGTGATCTCATCAGAAGCTCATATTACATTACGCCAGCCAGGATTGGCTGGAAATCAGCATGTCAGTGACAAGGAGGGCCACGATCCTCCCCCTATATATAGGGCTGTTCCTGCACTGACAGGTTATTCAAAAAGATTATCACCTCTTCCTCGCAACATTAGAGCAAGGAGGGTGACTTGGTGAGACTCATGCTACTCAGAGAACCGGGGCTACGACAGTAACCTAAAGTTCTCTTTCATAGCATTCGTTTCGTGTCTCACATTGGGAACAAAAATATACTGACTCCTGTATTGCTCAGCAGACTTCACTACATGCCAGCTGTTTGGAGCATTACTTCTTCTGTGCACTTGGTGCTACACTCAGAACTGAATGAGCCAGCGATGATGCTGTGACATCAGTTTTATAAAGCCGAGCAAACGTGTGAAGAGAAGCCCAGCTTGCTGTGGCACAAATTTCCTGAAGGGACACCCCTTTAAGCAGAGCCCATGAAGAGCTTAAGCCCCTGGTGGAATGGGCACGCAGGCCCTCAGGAGGCTGCAGCCCATTTGAACTATATGCTAAGGCAATCGCACCAGTGATCCAGTGGGAAAACTGCTGTTTTGTTACCAGTTTCCCGCACTTATTTTTAGCCCAAGAGACAAACAGTTGGTCACTTCTCCTGACCTGTTTTGTCCTGTCCATGCAGATACGTAAAGCACGTACTGGGCAGAGTTTAGGTAGCCTCACCTGCTCCTCAGAAGAGAACGGAGGAGGATTAAAAGCCACTAACTCAATAGGAGAGTAAGAACCCAACACCTTATGCTCAAAAGCAGGGTTTGGGAGCAGGGTCACCTTAGAATTGTCCAGAGAGAATTGTGTGCAGGATGGGTGAACTGATAAAGCATGAATTTCACCCACACGCTTAGTAGAGACAAGAGCCAGCAAAAGTGCTGTTTTCAGCGCTACCAACTTTAATTCCACCTGATCCAGAGGCTCAAAGGGCAAAGTATGGAGGGCCTGCAGTACCAGAGGAAGGTAGGTTTTGAGACAGGCAGTTTTCTGCGAGCCCCCTTCATAAACCAGCTTACAAAAGGATGTTGGCCAGCTGTTTTTCCCTAGAAGCCTATGTGGCAGGCTGAAATAGCCACAAAATAAACTTTGATAGTGGAAAAAGCTTTTCCCTTATCAATCAGGTTCTGTAAGAAAGACAAAATGACAGCTACAGAACACTGATAAGGAATCTCCTGAGAGTCGGTGCACCATTTCTCAAAAATGGACCATTTGCACTCATACAGAAATCTTGTTGCAGGTGCCCATGCATTCTGTATGGCCTCAGTTACATTCTGTGGGAACCCCATGGATTGAAGGTTGAACCACTCACGGGCCAGGCCCACAGAGCCAGCCTTTCTGGGTGGGGGTGAAAGATTTGCCCCTGCGCCTGAGACAGCAGGTCTTTGCGGGCTGGCAGAGGCCAAGGCTCCTCCCAGAGAAGCTGAGTTATCTCTGCTAACTAGTGTTTTGATGGCCAGTGAGGTGCAATGAGAATCATTGAGAGGCCCTCTGACCTCACTCTTGCCAACGTTGGTGAGATGAGAGCTATGGGAGGAAAAGCATAAAGCAGGACCCAAGGCCACCTGTGGGCGAGTGTGTCCACCCCCAGTGGTGCATTCTGGCTGTGCAGGGAGAAGAACAGGGGGCACTGATTGTTCTCTTGTGAGGCAAAGAGGTCCACTAATGGCTGTCCAAACCTCTCCCAGACCAGCCTGACCACATCTGGGTGGAGTTTCCACTCTGCATACAGAGGTTTCCCCCTGGAGAGAAGATCTTCTCCACAGTTCAGCACTCCAGGAACATGAGTGGCCCTCAGAGACAGGAAATGTCTGCTGCTCCAGATGATCAGTTTGTGGGCCAGTGTATGAAGCCTCAGTGATCTCA